GCGTTCAGAACTGCTTAATTCTTCAAGGCATAGATTCAACAAGGTGTTGGAAACATTCCTTAGAGATTTTTGTCCATATTGACTTGATAGCATTATGGGCCCAAAGTATGCCAAGAAAATATCCCCCACAGCAATACACCACCACCACCAGCCTGAACCGCTGATACAAGGCAGTCAAACATGCAAGTCGATTCATGCATGGAAACCTCTGACATATGTATCTAAAAACCACCAAGGAGGGACTCAAGCCAGAATTGTGTCCTTGGTATTGTGTGAGGGTGATGAGACCCCCCTTGGCTGTTTATTGATCTGTGTCCCCATTAAATAGATTTGGCCCATCAAGCAACCAGGAAATCACCCCTAGCAATGGGTCTCACCACCACCATTCCACTTCACCACGTCTAGATGCCTAAATGCATTGAGTTGCTGCCATGTGATTGGCCGATTAGCAATTTGTGTTACCAAGCAATTGAACAGGTGTACCTAATAAAGTGGCCGATGAGTGTATATCTTACATAGAAAAACATAACATGAATAAATGAATACATACATATTTATTTAAAGGGGCAAAATAATTTTATATACAGAAAATTCCGTTCCAAACAAAAAGACGGCATTATGCTGTAAAAGAAATCCCATAGGTCATCCCTTCTAATTACTGGGGAATAAACAAAACCTTAATTAAAAACACAAATACTCCAAACATCAAATTGTGAGGTTAAGAAATGAACCCACACCAGTTATGCACGCAGCTCTTCTTCAAAAAGAATACAAGGCAAAATCAAAGGAAGTAAAGAGAACAGAATAAGAGAATAGGCCACTTACCCAGAAATCACCAAAAGGAGGTCTGATCATTCTCATGCCCTTATCCAGAGCGCCTGAGGCTTCCTGTTTTTCTCAAGACCCTAAATATTCCCAGCCTCAACCAGAATGTTGCGCAGATACAACAGGAATGACTTTCTGCTACATGGAAACCTGGCACCATGCATTCCACATGAAGTAACAAATAACTAACTAGAAGAAATATAAATACCAGCAAGCTTCTTTTTTTCTTTTTTACGTCCACCGGTCCAAGCTTGCTCCTGTGATGGACTACAACCTCAATACAAACTAGTAGTCCTATCACTGGAGCCATTTTTTAAACTTTATTTCATAGTTTATCCGATTTAATCGAACTTAATAATCAGCTAACTAATTGATTTTGAAAATAAGCGTTAGCTGCAGCTCTAATAGTTTATCCGATTAACCGATTAATCGAACTTAATAATCGGCTAACTAATCGATTTTGAAAATAATCGTTAGCTGCAGCTCTACTAGGAATGCTCCGCACACCCACTCCTCATAACTCATGCAATAAAGCAAATGGATACCCAGCACCCTCCCCATGCTTTTAACCAAGTCCTATGATAATGGGGCATTGAAACAAGAAATGGTCCAAGGACTCCACTTTACCAACAAATTCCACTTCAGAACAATCCCAATCATCAGCAGGGTAATGCTTCCAATGGAATTTGTATTTTCATCACAGCTGGAGGGCCAAACTTTGCCTACCCCTGCTCTAGTATAATCTTCTGTTTGGCCCTTGCTGTCCCCCATCTTCCTCCATTCTGTATGTTTCCATCCTATAGCTGGTTGTCACCATTTTCATCCTTTCTGTAAGTTCCCATCTTAGTGCTGGTTGTTATCATCTTCATCCTTTCTTTATGTTCCCATCTTAATGCTGGTTGTTATCATCTTCATCCTTTCTGAAGGGTTTTCATCTTGGTGCTGGTTGTTGTCATCATCTTCATCCTTTCTGTATGTATCTTAGTTCTGGTCGTCTCAATTTGTCTCCTCGATTTTTGCACACATAATTGTCTTTTCTGCTGACTTCTTCTCATATGTCCAAAATAAGGCAGATACAGTCCATTCCCCCCGAGTGATAGGAGTGCAGTGTGAGGTATTAGGGGTACAGTGTCAGGTATTAGGAGTGCAGTGTGAGGTATTAGGGGTACAGTGTCAGGTATTAGGAGTGCAGTGTGAGGTATTAGGGGTACAGTGTCAGGTATTAGGAGTGCAGTGTGAGGTATTAGGGGTACAGTGTCAGGTATTACTAGTGCAGTGTGAGGTATTAGGGGAACCGTGTTAGGGGTACAGTGTCAGGTATTAGGGGTGCAGCCTGAGGTAATAAAGGTACAGTGTGTAGTAAAAGGGGTACAATGTGAGGTTATAGGGGTACAGTGTGAGGTATGAGGGTACATTGTGAGGTATGAGGGTACATTGTGAGGTTATAGGGGTACAGTGTGCGGTGATAGGGGTTCGGTGTGAGGTAATAGGGGTACAGTGTGAGGTAATAGGGGTACGGAGTGAGGTAATAGGGGTATGGAGTGAGGTAATAGGGGTACAGTGTGAGGTAAAAGGGGTACAGTGTGAGGTAAAAGGGGTACAGTGTGTGGAAAAAGGGGTGCAATGTGAGGTGATAGGGGTACAGTGTGTGATAATAGGGGTACAGTGTGTGGTAATAGGGGTACAGTGTGTGGTACTATGTGTACAATGTGAGGTGATAGGGGTACAGTGTGAGGTGATAGGGGTACAGTGTGAGGTGATAGGGGTGCAGTGTGAGGTAATAGGGGTACAGTGTGGGGTAATAGGGGTACATTGTGGGGTAATGTGTGTGGTACTAGGGGTACAGTGTGAGGTGATAGGGGTACAGTGTGAGGTGATAGGGGTACAGTGCTAGGTTATAGGGGTGCAGTGTGAGGTAATAGGAGTACAGTGTGATGTTATAGGGGTGTAGTGTGAGGTAATAGGGGCACAGTGTGAGGTTATATGGGTACAGTGGTAGGTGTAAGGTATTAGGGTACATTGAGAGGTAATAGGGGTACATTGTGAGGTAATAGGGGTACAGTGTGAGGTAATAGGGGTACAGTGTGAGGTAATAGGGGTACAGTGTGAGGTAATAGGGGTACAGTGTGAGGTAATAGGGGTACAGTGTGAGGTAATAGGGGTACGGAGTGAGGTAATAGGGGTACGGAGTGAGGTAATAGGGGTACGGAGTGAGGTAATAGGGGTATGGAGTGAGGTAATAGGGGTACAGTGTGAGGTAAAAGGGGTACAGTGTGAGGTAAAAGGGGTACAGTGTGTGGAAAAAGGGGTGCAATGTGAGGTGATAGGGGTACAGTGTGTGATAATAGGGGTACAGTGTGTGGTAATAGGGGTACCGTGTGTGGTACTATGTGTACAATGTGAGGTGATAGGGGTACAGTGTGAGGTGATAGGGGTACAGTGTGAGGTGATAGGGGTGCAGTGTGAGGTAATAGGGGTACAGTGTGGGGTAATAGGGGTACATTGTGGGGTAATGTGTGTGGTACTAGGGGTACAGTGTGAGGTGATAGGGGTACAGTGTGAGGTGATAGGGGTACAGTGCTAGGTTATAGGGGTGCAGTGTGAGGTAATAGGAGTACAGTGTGATGTTATAGGGGTGTAGTGTGAGGTAATAGGGGCACAGTGTGAGGTTATATGGGTACAGTGGTAGGTGTAAGGTATTAGGGTACATTGAGAGGTAATAGGGGTACAATGTGAGGTAATAGGGGTACAGTGTGAGGTAATAGGGGTACAGTGTGAGGTGATAGGGGCACAGTGTGACATTATAGGGGTGTAGTGTGAGGTAATTGGGGTACATTGTGAGGTAATAGGGGTACAGTGTGAGGTAATAGGGGTACAATGTGAGGTAATAGGGGTACAGTGTGAGGTAATAGGGGTACAGAGTGAGGTAATAGGGGTACAGAGTGAGGTAATAGGGGTACGGAGTGTGGTGATAGGGGTACAGAGTGAGGTGATAGGGGTACAGAGTGAGGTTATAGGGGTACTGTGTCAGGTAATAGGGGTACAGTGTGAGGTAATAGGGGTACAGAGTGAGGTGATAGGGGTACAGAGTGAGGTGATAGGGGTACAGAGTGAGGTGATAGGGGTACAGAGTGAGGTACATTGTATAGTAATGGGGGTATCAGTGAGGGCAGGGTGAGGATTTGGAGTAAAGGGGTATCGGTAGTGGCAGTGTGAAGGTTTGTGAAGATGGGGGTATCAGTGGGTGCAGGGTGAAAATTTGGGGTAATGGTGAGAATATTAGTAGGGAAGGGTAAGGATTTGGGGTGGTAGGGTTATGAGTGGGTGCAGGTTTTGGATCAC